CAAGGAAGACACAGGGAGCAGCACGAGGGGACAGCTTGTCCGCAGACAAGTCGCGGACAAACGCCCGAGATCCCCAGACACGGAACACAGACGCATCGCCAACCTTCCCCGTCCACAGCAAGGCTGGGGACATCGCAGGTCGAGAGACCCGGGGTTGAAGGTTGAGCTGATGCGCCGCGTACCTCACCGCAAACGGCCACAGAAAATGGGGGGCAGCCGCATGCATCATGGACGTACGAGCGACATCCATGACCATGCCAATGCGGCGCTCAGCAATCCCATTTTGCTGTGGTGAGTCCGGAAGCGTGAAGGTCTGGCGGATCCCCCGTGCACGACAGTAGTCCCGCAGAAGGCGAGAAGAGAACTCTCCGCCTCTGTCCGAGTGCAGACGCAGAACAGGAAAGTCCGAGCCGAAGCTCTTCCTGAGCTCGAGACGAGCCTCGCGGATCCAGTCGATCAGCACCTCAGTGACCGCACCCTTGCTGCGCAAGGGGAGGACTGTGGTGTAACGCGAGTAGTCGTCAACCACCAACAGGAAGTAGCGCTCGTAACCCTGCCCACGGACGGGGGCTGGGCCCCACACATCCATGTGAAGCGTCTGCACGGGAGCCTCTGTCGGGGGGAAGTGGGAGGAGTGAGGAGTAGCCCGGAGGCGACCCTCGACACAGGGGACACAGGAAGGTCCTGGCCCGGAGGGGAGAGGAGGGAGAGACTGGGGAAGACCAGAGACAAGGACACGGGAAGCCATGCTCCGAAGACGGGGCAAGGAGGGGTGGCCAAGACGGTGGTGCCACAGGAGAGTCTCGTGAGACAGGAGGCGACAAGAACAGGGGGCAGACTCAGGACCTGACCGGGACGCAGCAGCAAGCACCTGACCCGACGCAGCCACCTGACCAGACGCAGGGACAGGAGGAGACTCAACGGTCAGGGTGTAGAGACTCGACCCCGGCCGACGCGAGAACGTGGCCAGGTGTCGGCCTGTGCGTGCCTCCGTGCAGTGGGTCACCCGCTGACTCGCAGGAGTGAACTGGTGAACCCCCACATCCTGCAGGTCCGCTCCACTCACCAAGTTCGTAGAGAACGAGGGAAGGTACAGACCAGACAGGGTGCCCGAAGGGGCAGCCGGACACGGGAGGACAGTGGAGAAGTGAGACAGGACAGGACCCCCAGAGGGGTCAGCAAGGGAGACCGCAACCGGTCGGCCGAGCGGCGTAAGGGTAGTGCGGTCTCGAAAGAAGGAGCGAGAAGCCCCGGAGTCAAGTGTGAAAGTGAGGGAGGACGAGGACGACGCAGTACCTGAGAGCGCAGTCTCACCAGTACCTGAGAGCACAGACGCACTGGCACCTAGAGCAGCAGCCTCACAAGCACCTAGCGCAGCAGTACCAATGCCCGGGTCGGGCTGGAAACACCGGTAACCCTCATTCTCCTCACTATAATCCACAGCATACATAGCAGCAAGGATAGCATCAAAATCAAGATCAAAGATCACTACACCAGCCCTTAGAAGCTCATCCCAGCGAGGGATCTCACTAGCCCCAGGGAACTGCTGACGCCAAGCGTCCGTCAGGCGGCCAAAGCAGCGCTGGGTGGCGTGGGCACCCCCACACTGCTCACCCGCGCGGTCGCCGGAACGAAGAACGTAGGTGCAGGGACCAGTACCCCCACCCCTCTGACGCCCAGCGTACCACTCACGAAGCTGCTGAGGCGGAGGGATGTCCCGCGAGCGCTGCTGCTGCTGCCGCTGCGAGCGCTGGCCACCACCACCGCCGCTACGCTGCTGGGTACCACCTCGACCAGCTCCACCTCCTCCACCACCACCGCCTCCTCCGCTGCCGCCTCCACCGCCTCCACCTCCGCCGCCTCCACCTCCGCCGCTGCCTCCACCACCACTGCTGGCACCACCACCACCGTCTCCGCCGCTGCTGCCACCACCACCACCACCCCCGCCACTAGTCCCGCCGCCACCCCCACTCCCTCCGCCGCCACCGCCGCCACCGCCACCGCCCCCTCCAGCTCCACCCGCGCCCTTGCCCCCCTTGCCCTTGCTGGAGCGACGTCTCCCACTAGGGGTAGACGCCGCGCCGACCGACTCAAGACCAAGCAGGTCGGCAGCAGCAGCAGAGGCAACAGAGGGCAGCAAGGGGGAAGGAGAGCACCCCTCAAAGATGGGGGTGCGAGGGTCACCACGAGAAGCACCTACAGCGACTATGCTCTTCTCCGCTGCGAGGAGGGCCTTCTCGAGGAGGTCGACGGTGAGGGTGGTGGGACAGACTGCGAGAAAGTGGTCCCTGACGACGCGAAGGGAGTCAGGGAGGCGCGCGACTACGTAGTAGAGAGCGATGTACATGGGGGGTGGGTTCTTAGCGCAGAACTCAGCAGGAAGGGCGGCGCGGTAGCGAGTGTCACTAGTGCGGAGGTGCGTAATGAGGTCAGCAACAGTGGGAAAGGCAGAGAGGTCAGGAAAGAGGTAGGGAAGCATGAGACGGCTCAGTGCAGCAGTGGCAGGGGAGGAGTAGCGCGCAACTACAGCGTCGTACAAGGTCTGAGCACTCTTGTACTGACTAAAGTGCGCACGCTCAGAGGTAGGGAGGTGGCGACGCACAGCAAGACGTGCAGCAGCATCGCGGGTGGCCCACTGAGAGCGGACAGTGGGATCAGCATCAGCAGCAGGAGCAGGAGAGGCGCCAGAGGTGAGGTCAAAGAGAGAAAGGTCGTCAGCCCTGTCGCACTGTAAGAACAGCTGCAGGTCGTCTAACCAGACCTCAAAATCAATGGCGCGACCCTCAGCGTCAAAAGCTAGGACACTAGGGGTAGCCATGGCGACGACAGCGACGCAGTGCAAGCAGTAGGGAAAGAGCTCGCAGTGTCAGTGGGACTGTGCTCACCAGGCAGGGCAGGTCGTGCAGCTCTGCAGAAAGGCGGCTCAGCGACCGGGCGGCTCGGGTGCACAGCGGCTCGGCTCCCGGGCGGCTCGGCGGCTGGGCGGCTCGGGCGCAGGGCGGCTCGGCTCCCGGGCGGCTCGGCGGCAGGGCGGCTCGGGTGCAGGGCGGCTCGGCTCCCGGGCGGCTCGGCGGCAGGGCGGCTCGGGTGCTGGGGCGGCTCGGCCTGGAGATGCAGGGGCGGGGCCGTCAGGTGCAGCGGCGGGTCGACCGGTGCAGCGGCGGGCCGGCAGGTGCAGCGGCGGGGCCGTAGGGTGCAGCGGCGGGCCGACCAGGTGGGGCGGCGGGCCTTAGGGTGCAGCGGCGGGCCGTAGGGTGCAGCGGCGGGCCGGCAGGTTCAGCGGCGGGGCCGTCAGGTGAAGCGGCGGGCCGCTGGGTGCAGCGGCGGGCCGGCAGGTGCAGCGGCGGGCCGGCAGATGCAGCGGCGGGGCCGTCAGGTGAGGCGGCGGGCCGTAGGGTGCAGCGGCGGGCCGTAGGGTGCAGCGGCGGAGCCGGCGGTGGGGCCGCGTCAGTGGAGGCGGCGAGGCCGCGTCAAGCAGGCGGCGGGGCCGCGACGAAGCGGGCAGCAGGGCCGCGTCAGAGCCGGCGGCGGGGCCGCGTCAGTGGAGGCGGCGGGGCCGCGTCAAGCAGGCGGCGGGGCCGCGACGAAGCGGGCGGCAGGGCCGCGTCAGAGCCGGCGGCGGGGCCGCGCCAAGCAGGCGGCGGGGCCGCGATCAGGAGGGGTGGCGGGGCCGCGTCTGAGGGACAGCGGGGCCGCGAGGGAAATGGCGACCCGAGGGGTCGCTAAAAAAAAGGGCGCGCCTCGGGGCGCGCTTCGGTGGGCCCTAAAAAAAAACGGTCCTAAGGAAGGACCCGCTCTATACCATGTGAAACAAGTGAACAGGAATGAGAATGACTAAGTCAGAGTTGGGTACAAATACAACCCTAGAAAGCTGTACCCCGTATGTGCTACCCCACTATAGCCTACAAACATGCATCAGCTATAATACTCTGACATGTACTTCTTTGTTTTCAGTGAAAATTGCACCAGAAAACCAGAATTTTCTCCAATTGACTACTAATCTCCAACGCTAGCCGGAGGCTATACCTAAAATTAGAGCTGGTATCAGAGCTTGGTTATCGTTGCGTCGAGCCTCATTATAAAAGCCTTGGAGGCGTTATAATTTTTTAGAGTAATTGGAGAGGGCGAATATTCAACGACATGGGAAAAGGAGATGGAGAGACCAGTTCAGGGTCTTCAGTGAACACTGACGGTGCACAGCTGCAGAGTCAACTCGATGCCCTTGCCAAGGGGCAAATCGTGGCCAAACCGACAATTGGCCTAAGTGAAGCTCAACGCTTCAATGGAGAGAACTACGGCACATGGAGGCTGAAGTTCATGCGACGCGCCCGGGAGGTAGATTTGTAGCATTTCTACAACCCTGAGGCAGCGACGGAGGAAGATGGACCTGCACGTGCAACCGCACAAGAGAAAAAAAGCGTTTAAGAAAAGAAGCCAACAAGCTTTCTTTCAACTCTGCCATTCGGTCTCGGATTCAATCGCAGCACGACTCGACCCGTTCTCTGAGGAGGACAACGCAGCAGAGAAGGCGTGGGCATACATGGAACTAGTGTACCTCGGGAAAAGCGAGACAAAGATGACAGCAGTGAGGACGAAACTCATATTGCTGGCCATGGAACCTTCCTTGACGGTGGTGGACTACGTGGGCCGTGCTAAAGGCTACAACGTCGACCTGACGGCTATGGGAGTGCCTGAATCGGAGAAGCAAATGATGAGCTACATCATTGGCGGCCTACCGAAATCATGGGCAGCAGAGAAGCGGATGCTGGCCTGCAGACGCCCCACGGACATGACGGACCTGGTGGAGTCCCTTCAAGACGTTGCGCTCATACGTGCTGAGGAAGAGCGAAGGGAGGCGCTGCCGGACAACTTCAGCAACGACAAACATGCCATGTTGAACGCAACTGGGGCAGCAAAATCACAAGGCAATCGATTGCTACAGTAACCCGATGAGCAAGAGCTTTAGGGGAGGGCAGTAGCAGCAAAGGAATCACGTACCTATGAAGATCAACGCCACCGAAGCGGAAACCAGCGACAACGACGTCATCCTCGGGGGAGCCCACAAGGCCAATGTTGCAAGAGCATCCGGAGCATGCCTGCTTGCAAAGGGCCTCAAAGGCAAGGAGTGGTACATGGATAGTGGATGTACCCAACACATGACCAATCGGAAGGAGTGGCTGCAAAATTTCAGAGCATCACCGATCCCGTACGTGCTGTTGGGAGACGAGGGGAAACTTCCTGTGAAAGGGGAAGGAGATCTAGTGCTGCAAAGTGCTTATGGTGAGGTGAAGCTGGACAACGTGCTGCTGGTGGACAAGCTCACACGCAACCTCATAAGCCAATCGCAGTTGGACAGCGGTGGGTGCAAGACTTTCAGTGACAAGGGCAGCATATGGGTGTTCGGTTCAGATTGGAAGGTGATAGCGGAAGGATCATGCAAGCAAGGGCTGTACGAGATGAAGCTGCACAAAAAACAGAGTGGTGAGAAGCCCACGTACATGGCTGAACCGGAAGCGGGCAAGGTGGCACGAGATGAGCTACGCACCAAGCTGAAAAAAGTTCCGATCAAGGAGCTGCAGCAGCAGGCGCTTCCTATGGCTGCAGCAGTGAGCACGGTGGACGTCAACCTACTGCACAGGAGGATGGGGCACGCTGGTCACACTCGAATCAAGCAGCTGGTCAAGAAGAACATGGCAGCAGGAGTGAAGGTAGCCGAGGGTGGAGAGGAAAATCTGAAGTGCAGCACTTGCGTGGAATCAAAGGCAACAAAGGCACCACATCCCAAGCATGGAGTCCGTGAGCCATACGAGGCAATGGCTATTGTGGCAGCCGACGTATGTGGACCGATGCGAGTGGCTTCACGACATGGCAGCAAATATTTCGTTACCTTCACCGACCTTGGCACACGACACACATGGGTGACTGAAATCAAGAACAAGTCAGAAGTCTTCACGAGCTTTCTCGATTGGCAAGCGGAAGCGGAAAGGCAAAGCGGCAAGAAGCTGAAAGTGTTACGTACGGATAACGGGGGAGAATTCGTCAACGCCCAGTTCAACACCTACCTGAAGTCAAAGGGGATACGAAGGCAGCTCACGGTTCCGTACACTCCTCAACACAACAGCATTGCGGAGCGGGTGAACCGATCACTGCTGGAGGGTGTGAGGAGCTTGCTCGCGGACAGAAAATTGCCCCTTCACTACTGGGGAGATGCACTAGGCATGTCATGTTGGCTGAAAAATCGGCTACCGACAAAGGGATTAGCGGCGGACGTTACCCCTCACGAGGCGTTCTACACGAGGAAGTCGAATCTGGAGTTCTTACGTGTTTGGGGCTGCATGACGCAATACCGAGAGGCGGCGGGACCCGATCACAAGCTTCTCCCTACGACCAAGTGGGGAATTCACTTGGGAATCTGCCCAGAGAGCAAAGGGTGGGCGATACACGATGTGGAGACCGGAAAAGTCACGGCGACCAGAGATGTTACCTTCTACGAGCAGGACACCTACTTGGAGTGGAAGGGACGGAAACAAGGAGCTGTTGCAAAGGAATTGGCAGCAGCACCAACTCCAGTGGAGGATATGATAGATGGGAGTGAGAAGGAGGGGATAGGGGCAGCCAATGGAAGCGGTAACAATGACGACTACGAAGACCACACTACACCGGGTTTCGACTGGGTGTGGGAGGTCCAGGAGCTGTCCTCACCTTCAACTGCCGTGGAAGAGGGTGAAGAAGAAAATGATAAGGGAGAAGAAGCGGGTGACAGTGCAACGAATGAAGCCGGTGAGGAAGAAGCTGAGATTTCGGATGTGGAAGAGAGTGTGGCTGAATCTGCCAGCACGGGGTACTCCGACCCATGGCGCATCATTGACACGGGGGACAATGAAAAGGCGGCAGCAGAGATTGAAGACCTACTTGTGGATGGAGCGATCATCATCGGAAGAGAGATTGAAGGATATTCCGTGCAACAAGGAACGGATGATAATGCAGCAGCAGAGAAATGTGGAGCTGAAAATGAGAATGAGGAGATGGGCAAAGGGAAACGGGTCAAGAAACACAACCCCAAGTATGCCCAAATGCTTCTGACCTGCTGCAGGGACATTCACACCCACCTCCTCCTTACCACTACGGCAACAGCACTTCTATCAAAGGGGAAGGTGGAAAGCTACAAGCTGCCCACCGAGCCTCTCACCATTGAAGAGGCACTGCCCGGACCGAACAAGGAGCAATGGAGGGCTGCAATCCAGGAGGAACTTGATACCTTGGCTGAAAGGGGGACATGGGATCTTGTGAACATGCCCGAGGGGAGGAAAGCAGTGGGAGTGTGCTGGATTTTCAAGATCAAAACAGGAGACATGGGACAAGTTGAGCGTTTTAACGCACGACTTGTGGCTAAAGGCTACACTCAGGTGGAAGGAGAGGACTACGACCAACTCTACGCACCCGTTAGCAAGTTAACAATGGCAAGAACCATGCTAAAGGTGGTGATGGCACGCGGGTACTTCATGGTGCAGCTGGACAAAAAAAATGCCTTTCTCTATGGCATTTTGAAGGAGACTATCTACATGAATCAGCCACCAGGGTGTGAGGACGGCACGGACAGAAAGTGCAAGCTCATCAAAGCACTTTATGGGCTGAAACAAAGCCCACGAGAGTGGTACCTAGCCATGGACGCGCGGCTGGAAAAGGGGGGGTTCATCAAGCGCCAATGTGACCGTGCATTCTACTGGAAGGGAGAGGGGGAAAACAAGGTGCTCCTACTCCTCTACGTGGTTGATTTCCTAGTGGCTGGAGCAAAGGAGGAGAAGGTGGAGGAGGTGTGCACTCACCTCGCAGTTGTATTTCAGGTGAAGAAGATTCCAAGGACCACTCTCTTCCTTGGAATGAACATATAGAGGAATAGGGAGGAGAAGAAGTTGCAACTATACCAGAAGAAGTACTTTAAGAGGTTGCGGGAGAGGTTTGGAGGGCATTGCAAGACTAAACCAGTGACAACACCTCTCAGCAGCCTTGCGGACAAGGAGGTCGATGTGGGAGCAGAAATTGAGGCATGGGGCAACAGGGAGAGAGCGCTCAAAGCTTACCAATCCATGGTAGGCTCAGTCATGTACACGGTGTCATGCACACGGGTTGATGTGGCCTATGCTGCAAGCTTTCTTGGACAGAGGGTGTTGCACCCCGAAGGACGCAAGTGGAAGGAAATTGAGCGGACCATCACTTACCTCTTGCAAGGGGATGATGAGGGGCTGTTGTTTGAAGGGGGAGAGGAGAGTCTAGAGCTAGTGGGGTACGCTGACGCCTCACACGGATCAGACAAGAAGGATGGGAGGGGGGCCTATGGCTATGTTTACCTCCTTGGCGGTACGGCAATCATGTGGCAAGCCAAGAAGCTCACCAACGTCGCTCTGTCAAGTCTGAATACATGGCGTTGTTTTATGCATGCCAAGAGGGTGTGTGGCTGAGGCGCCTACTTCAAGAGATGGGGGTCAAAGTGGAAGGACCTACAACAATCAAATCGGACAGCAAATCAGCGATTCGCACGAAACGACAACTGGCATGGGCGCACGAAACACATGAGCGTGAGGTACCATTGGGTACAAGAGCAGCTACAGAAGAAGGCATTCACCTTCGTGTACGTGGAACACATGAGCAGCCAGCGGATTTTCTCACCAACGTGCTACCGAAGACAAAATTCGAGTTCTCCAAGTATTTTGTCAGCATGTGCACCCTCAATGACTTGCAAGGGAGCAGTGGAGCAGCAACACGAGATACTACACCACCTTACGGTTGGGATCAGCAAGGGAAGAAGAAGGCGGGTTACATTGTAACCACTGGAGCATAGGAGGGTGGCAGCTGGCAAACCACGGGGGAGATTGCTAGGGTGGTTCGCCACTGCCCTAGTATCTACCGGCCTGCGCGCCTGACCTAGGGACGGTAGAAGAACTCTAGGAACGGTGGGAACTATGACCTAATATGGGGAACCGGTACCTAGAACTGTGGGGCTGCATGCTAAGTAGTTACGAGAGGAAAACGTGAGGAAAGTAAGGGAAAACGGAATGACTGAGAAATAGGGTTCGGGAAATGTCGAGAAGACATCTCCGAAGCCTAGAATGTCCAACCGAAACCGAACCGTGTTCGATGCGGAAGGGACAAACGTGTTTAGGTTCCGTTGATGGTTACCGAATTCGGTTACGCGTGCGACTCGGGCTGAAACGCGGATGACGCGCTACGCGAGGCGCACATCATATTTCAAAATGCTTAAATGTGTTTGTTTTCAATCAATTGTTTGTACTTCTCTGTTTTCAGTGAAAATTGCACCAGAAAACCAGAATTTTCTCCGAGTGACTACTAATTTCCAACGCTAGCCGGAGGCTATACCTAAACTTAGATCCTAAGCACCCAACGTGCCCTGAATTTCTACCCTCAGAAGCTTGCATCACAACGTTCCACCCAAAGCTGGTGGAGTGTGATGGCCGTTTACGGAAAATCCGACGTGGTTCTAGTTTCCTAGAAGAGTAAATCCCCCAACGAGGCAGGCGCCCTTGCAGGATTGAGCATGCGCAGAGCTCGTCGGAGCCCCTGGACAACTGGCTGAATCTTTGGGCAGCTGAAAAGGCAATGATCATGCGTCTCCTCCTCCCCGCAGTAGGGACATCTGGGCTTGCTGCTGAGGAAGTCCACCCGTTCCCCAACCTGAAGGTTCAGGTTATGAACACGTGTGAGGACGTCCCAGGGCCGGTTCGGGATGACGAGCGAGTTTCGGGTACGAATAACACGCTCCCAATCAATCTTGCCACTCCACTTGCCGGTCCACTTTGCCTGCTTCGTTAACACCGCATCAGGCTTGGCCCACGAATCTCTTTGCTGCTTCAAAGGTGTCAGCTGCCCATCCGTGAAAATAGCCGAGCGGAAAATTGTAGCTGCTGCACGCCCCCCAACTCCCGATGTGATAACGGGACTGCGCACCATACCCTCCTCCCCTTCTTGCCCAGTGCCAGGGACCAAGGCTGTCTTCCATCCCTGCGGTGCTGCACGAAAGGCTTTGAGTGTGTCAATGTCTTTAATCGCCACCGTCCCGTCACCCTGAGGCGCAACCATATCACCCAGCCTCGTCTCCCATAGGCCTTTCGCTTCCTTCTGCCCCCCCATCGGGTTTGTACCATTGAGAAAAGCTTCCGATTGAAAACCACCCTTTCTTGCGCCACCTCTTCTTTGGTACAAGATTTTAGGAGAGTTCACTGGTGATCCCCGATTGACCCTAGGGAAGGGTTACAGGCATGTTGGCCTGGGGGGTTATGGGCGCACTGACCCGCTACTTCAACAAGCCCTTTTATCCTAATGGTCTAGTGGTTGGGATTTTGACATGGTATCATAGCAAAAGGTCTCGGGTTCGAATCCCGGTGTGTGCACTTCGGGCATCCCAGTGCGGGGGGGTGTCAGAGGTCCACTGGTGATCCCCGATTGACCCTAGGGAAGGGTTACAGGCATGTTGGCCTGGGGAGTTATGGGCGCACTGACCCGCTACTTAAACAAGCCCTTTATCCCAATGGTCTAGTGGTTGGGATTCTGACATCTAGCCGCAAATGTGAGCAAGAGCGCTTTCCATCTGATTAACTCCACAATAATTTTTTCAAATGCCCGCTTCCAGGTCGGCTCGCTGCTTCCAGAAGGGGTAACCCAGACCCCCAGAACACGTTCAGCTTCGTCTGCCTTTGCCCATTTAAAACCGCCGAGCATTTCCGGGCCTCCTCTCGATGTTATGCCCGATCGGGAGAATGAGTGACTATGATTTGTTCGTCTTCAGCCGTGACAGGCCCGCGAAGAACTCTAGCAGCTTCTCCGCTCTGGCGATTTGCCTCTTTCCCTCTAGAAATAGCGTTGTGTCGTCGGCATAACCGACATATGCTAACCGTTGATTTGCCATGTTGCAGAGACCCAGCTTCCTGCGGACTGCTTTTTGCGCCAGGGGCTCCACCGCACAGAAGAAAAGGTAGGGAGCAAGCGGACAACCATGCCGCATCCCCGACCTGACTTCCACTGCTTCGCCTAGCCAGCCATTTATCAGTAACCTCGTCCTGGTGTCCTTGTGTAGGCCTTCCACCCAGCCAAAGAATCTCTCTGGGAACCCCCTCCTTGAGGACAGAGAAAAAGATGCTTTGTGACACAGAGTCGAAGGCCTTGCGGAAATCCGGAAATCCACCAACAGCATGTACCAGTCCTTATTCCCCTTCTTCGCCGCCTCAACCACGTAAGCAACCACCCCGATGGCGTCCGAGATCCTTCTACTGGGGATGAACCCGTACTGTTCCGCCGAGATCACCTTATGCAGATGTTGTTTCATTCGGTTTACCACCACTCACGCCAACACTTTGTACGTGAAATTCAGAAGGGTAATCGGACGGTAGTTGTCCAGGTTTTCCTTCTCCCCCTTTTTGTGGAGCAGGATGGTAACAGCCTCTTTGATGCTTGCAGGTAATGACGCGGTGTCAGTGAATGATTGCGCCATTCGAAGGAGCTCTCCGCCAAGAATGTCCCAATTCCACTCAAAAAGTTCTTTCGGGAGCCCATCTTTCCCCAGGGACTTTCCATCCGCAAGCGCCTTGAAAGCCTGCTTCACCTCTGCCTCCGACCAGTCTGCTGCCAGCCCATCCGCAGCTTCCGCATCCAGCTTCCTGCTGGCGAGCGGTTTCCACCTTGCTGACGATGTCCGACCATAAGTACCGAAGAGATCGGTGAAATACTGGGTCGCAGCCTTCAAAATACCATGTGAGTCAGAGATATTAGAGTCCTCGACAACCAGCTCCGTTATCTGCGTTTTCTGCTTCCAGACCTTGACCCGTGCTAAGAGGAAAGGAGAGGGGACTTTCCCAGCCAACTCTGTATTTGTCCCTGTCATCATGTGAAGCCTGTCTCTCCGTGACGCGTAGTACTCCTTCAGCTGTGTATCCCTGATGTGAAGCAGGTGCCTTGTTTTTTGACACCCGGGATTTCTCATCTGCTCCTAATGGAGCTCAGCCACCACTTCTGCGAGATGAGTCGTTGTTTTCCTCCTTCATATAGGACCGTAGCCCTGCGTTGAGTCTTCCCAGAAGCAGCTCAAAATTCCCATCTCCTTCAGCAGCCGCTTTCGCCAGAGCAGCTTCAACAGCTTTCCGAATCCCGTGTCTGCCTAAGGCGGCAGCATGTAACCTCCAGATGCCAGGGCCCAGGTGACACGAGGCTTTGATTTTGAGGGCTATTTTTATTCCAAAACCGTGATCTGAGATATACTCTTGGGGTCTTATGTGTGCAGCTATGCCTAGGTGCGGTAAAAGCGAGCAGGAAACGAGGGCGCGGTCAATGCGAGAGCTGGATTGTTTGGATGCGGCGTAAAAGGTGTACTCTCTAAGCTTAAGGTGCAGCACGCAGAAGGCATCGGACAGCTGAAAGCGGCAGCAGCGTGAGATAAGCCTATCGTTTTCTAGTGATGTGCCGGCTTGGGACGTTCGGTCTAAGATCGGGTCTTCCACTGTGTTCATGTTGCCTATGAGAACTACATGTGCGGTGGAAGGGATCTGATCAAAGGCGGGGCCTATTACGTTTGTAAGGAAAGTGCATCTGTCAGTTGCGTCTGGGGGGAAGCAAGCGGTGATGAGGGTGAGGGAGAAGCCTAAGCGGCTAGCATCAGCTATTATTAGCCTCCCGGATGGGTGAGTTTTAATGTTTTGGAAGAGGATGGCAGGATCTCTCGCTAGGATGGCTACTCCTTCTGCTTTGTCAGTGGGTGGGGTTGTGAGGACTATGGTGAAGGCGGTTGTTTTCTAGTAAGAGTGGTCATTAGATAATCTCATGTCAATGAGAATAGTGATGTCTGCGGCTGTTCTGGACCAAGTTGTAACTCTGTCTTGCTTTGTTCTGTCACCCAGGCCATTGACGTTAAGGCCTGCTAAAGAGAAGAATTTTTTGTTACTCATTTAATCATTGGTTGGCAGCCCGTGTTCATCCACATGCTGAAGATGGTGACTACAGTGACTACAATACTCCATCCGACGATCGCGAACAGCACACGAGTGTGGTGAGAGCGGAAGTGCGCAGTGAGGCAGCTGCGAGTGCAACAGAGATCGTCAGTAAGGAAAGAAAGAGGCGGTGTGTCAAACATTATATATGTTGTGCTTGTTTAGGCTACAGTGGGTTAGCCTATAGGGGGTACACAATTCTAGGGTTAGGTACTTGTACTGATTTCACTGTTAGTTCAATCATTCCTGTTCGTTCATTTCAACATGGTATAGAGCACGTCCTTCGCTAGGACCGTTTTTTTTAGGGCCCACCACTACCTACCTACCTACCTACCTAACTGCGCCCTAGAGCGCCTCGTTTTTCACGGCCCCCTAAGGCCGCGGGACCCGCGACCCGCCCCTTAGCGACTCGCGCGCCTCGTTTTTAGGGCCCACCACTACCTAACTACCTACCTACCTAACTGCGCCCTAGAGCGACTCGTTTTTCACGGCCCCCTAAGGCCCCGGGACCCGAACGGCCCCGCGCTCGCCCTTAGCGGCCCCTTACGGCCCCGCGCTCGCCCCTAGAGGCCCCGAACGGCCCCGCGCTCGCCCTTAGCGGCCCCTTACAGCCCCGCACTCGCCCCTAGAGGCCCCGAACGGCCCCGCGCTCGCCCTTAGCGGCCCCTTACGGCCCTGCACTCGCCCCTAGAGGCCCCGAACGGCCCCGCGCTCGCCCTTAGCGGCCCCTTACGGCCCCGCGCTCGCCCCTAGAGGCCCCGATCGGCCCCACGCTCGCCCTTAGCGGCCCCTTACGGCCCCACGCTCGCCCCTAGAGGCCCCGAACGGCCCCGCGCTCGCCCCTAGAGGCCCCGAACGGCCCGTGACCGCCACAGCCCCTCCAGGACTGAGCCGAGCTGCGCGACCCGAACCGAGCCGCCCAGTCCGAGCCGAGCCGCGCGACCCGAACCGAGCCGCGCTGCCCTACCCGAGCCGCGCCGCCCTACCTGAACTGAACCGAGCCGTGTGTACTGCCCGAGCCGCCCTACCTGACTCACCCTCCTACTCCTACTGCTGCTCCTACTGCTGCTATGGCTAGCCCACCTGTACTAGCTTTCGATGCTGAGGGCCGCCCAGTGAAGTTTAACAACTGGCTAGATGACCTGCACCTCTATCTACAGCTCACTGCCAAGGACGACATCTCACTGTACGACCACGCCCTAGGCCATGTCACTGCCCCTGCTGCTACTGCTGACAGCACTGCCCGCTCACAGTGGCAGACTCGGGACGCCCACGCTCGCTTCGCTATTTGCAACTCCCTGCCGATAGATGAGCGCGAGCACTTTGGGCACCACAAGACTGCACAGGCACTGTACACTGCTGTCGTTGCCCGCTACTCCTCACCGGCCTCTGCCGCACTAGGCCGTCTCTCTCTTCCCTACCTATTCCCTGACTTAGCCTCTTTCCACACAGTCGCTGACCTCATTACGCACCTCCGCACTAGTGAGGCTCGCTTCCGCACCGCTATGTCTGATGAGTTCCTTGCCACAAACCCACCCCCGCTTTGGCTCACTCTCTACCACCTAGTCACCCGCCTCCCTGACACTCTGCACTCAGTCAGAGACCACTTCCTAGCTCGCTGCCCCACTGAACTCACCATTGCCCTCCTCGAGAAGGAACTCATTGCAGCTGAGGCTAGCATAGTCGCTAAAGGTGCCTCTCGTGGCGACCCCCGTACCCCGTTCTTTGAGGGGTGTTCTCCTTCCCCCCTTCTTCCCTCTGTCGCCTCTGCTGCTGCTGTCGACCTCCTTGGTGCTGAGAAGGTCGGGACTGCGTCTGCTTCGAGCGGGCGCCGCAGCGGCAAGGGAAAAGGGGACAAGGGCGGTGGCGGTGACGGCGGGGGAGGCGGTGGTGGGGGCGGTGGCGGCGGTGGGGGTGGTGGCGCGACTGGAGGGGCTAGTGGCAGCGGTGGGGGTGGTGGCGGCAGCGGCGGGGGAGGTGGCAGAGGCGGAGGCGGTGGTGGGGGTGGCGGTGGACGCGGCGGCGGCAGGGGTTGGGGTGGTCAAGGAGGTGGCGGCGGCGGTGGTGGTCGTGGCGGCGCTGGCGGTGGCCA